TGTTTTAAGCATGAATAACTTCCTCACTAAAGAAGAAACTCTCCAGAGCTTCCAGGAACACACCAAATATCACCCACGATGAGGTACACCTGCAAATCTATCCAGATATTTCACAAGCCACTATGGAAAGGTTCAAGGAATTTAAAGAGAACACCTTCACTCTGGCTGCAGCGGACACCAGAAACCAATGGGGATTTCCCTTCAAGCTTATAGTTCCTCACAATTACTCAAATTACATTGCTACTACATTGGTCCAAGGTCAGGAGATTTTGGTAAAATTTGGCCTTTCTTGAAAATGAAAATCTACCGAGGCTTCCATCTACCCCCAGGTCTTCACTCATTTGGAATACACCATCTCCAAGAAGAGACCATTGATGCACATGACATGAAGCTGGCCATTATGACGCACCTGCACATAACTAACCCAACCTAGCCTTAAATTTCTATATACTTAAGGTCTCTTTTTCTCAACATTTTCACTTCACTCTGGAACTACACCTCAATTTTGTACCTTTTATTGCCATATACTGTCCTTTTTTGATATTTTTGGAGGCTACATTAGGTGAATAGTCCTTTGAAACCGAGAAAACTTTTTTTTTCTTTTGTTTTTTTCTCTACACTCACCAGCCACTTTATTGGGTACACCTTGTAGAGCCAAGAAAATATCCCCCACAACATTATACCACCACCATCAGCCTTAACCATTGATGCAAGGCACGATAGATCCATGCTTTCATGTTGTTTACGCCAAATGATGTCAGATAACCCTACCATCTGAATGTCTCAGCTGAGTCAGTCTATTCATTCTCCTCTGACATCAACAAGGCATTATCCTCCACACAACTGCGGCTCACTTTTCTCTTTTTTTTGGACCATTCTCTGTAAACCCTAAAGATGGTTGTGCGTGAAAATCCCATTAGATCAGCAATTTTTGAAATACTCAGACCAGCTCTTCTGGCACCAACAACCATGCCACAATCAAAGTCACTCAAATCCCCTTTCTTCCCCATTCTGATGTTGAGTTTGAACTTCAGCAAGTCTTCTTCAAATTAATTAGCAATGTGTGTTACCAAGCAACTGAACAGGTGTACCTAATAAAGTGGCTGGTGAGTGTATGTGCCTCCTATTTCAATTTTCAGCTTCTAAGCTAAAGCACTCTTAACGTTTGCTCTTTCAAATGTATAATGTTTTATTGGCCCTTTATAGGCATACTCAGGTTACTGTTTACAACATAATATTAACAAACGTCATAAAACGTTTATGCATTACAAATGCCTGGGAGCAAAAATAATCCTACTGCAAAAAACTAATTTCTCTCAAGTGAACCACCCTTCATTTTTTTCAAAAAGCCTACAATCAATCCTTTTATACTCTTCCTCCCTCTAAAGCTAAAGGAGTCTCCATTTTTCTCCATCACCCACTGGCTTTACAAGTTCAACATTTTTACGAGGATGCTGAAAGTCGCTTTCTGATTATTAAGGGAAACCTAGCTGGACATGAACTAATGTATATGCCCCGAATGAAGGCCAATCAACCTTTTTTTTTTCAAACTTCTTTTTATATCCTGCAGCGCTATTTTTCCCCTCCTATAATCTTTGAAGGAGACTTTCATTTAGTCTCTCAACCAGCTTTAGACAAAAGCTAATCTACGTCCCATTCTAAAGCTTTCCCTAAATCTTCAAATACCCAATTAAATGCATTCCATCTTAGAGATTCATGGAGGGCACTAAATATGGGAGCTTGTGAATACACATTTTGATTGAACCTACACGATACCTATGCAAAGTCGGATTACCTTTATTGTACTCCAATTATTCAAATTAATTCCAATGATGCTTCTATCCATGTATGTCCATGGTCTGATCACCATATGGTCCCCTTTTCCACCACTCCAATAGGTCTTTCTAATATTCCATACTCATGGAGACTTAATGAATACCTATTATCAGACCCTGCCATTCAACAGGATATAGCAAATAAAATGGAGGAATTTTTTAGATTGAATTCTACTCCAGATATATCTGCTACCTCAATTTCGATGGCTCATTAAACTGATTCTCTGTGGGCACCTTATCAAATTATCCTCAGATGGTAATAAAGAGAGATGGCGGGTGATCTTAATGCTCACCCGTGAACTCCTACATGGCAATGTTTGCCAGAAAATTAAATAATCCCCTATCTTTTCTATCCCTCCCTCTGCTTTTTCTTGGGCGACAAATATTCTTCCCACGTTAAATTCTTCTCAACTAGAACAATTTAAGCAAGCCCCTGGTCCAGACGATTTTTCCTTGGCCTATTATAAACAATATGCAGATCTTCCAACCCCTAAAATATCATTTTTATTCAATCGCATCTTACAGGGAGGCTCTTTACCAGAGGAGATGCTATTGGCTATTCCCTGATCCCAAAATGTAATAAGGATCATTCCTTACCTTTTATCATTCAATTTCAATCATAAACAATGTTAAAATGTTCAGTAGACTGCTGGCCGACAGATTAGCATCAGTGATTTCTACCTTAATTTCCCCATATCAATCAGGATTCATACCAAACCATCAAATTACAGACAATATAAGATTAGCTGCCAATGTCATCCAAGATGTCAATTTGAAATCACGCCCTGTTCTCCTCCTAAGTTTAGACAATCACAAGGCTTTTGATAGCATTACATGGGAATATTTAGTTGCCATTTTACAATGCTATGGCTTCTGAGGGGAATTCTTTTGTGCCTCTAAGGCCATATATACTAATCCCCAAACTAGAATACAAATACCAGGATGAAACTAAATTTTTTTTCAAAGTTGACAAAGGGTGTCCCCTTTCCCCATGATTGTTTATACTTGCAATAGAGACCCTAGCGGCTGCCATTCTTAGACACTCAGACATTTCAGGTTACTCCACATCCACCTCTCAATATAAACGCAGCATGTATGCTGACGATATGCTATTATTTATCACTCAATCCTCTATTTCTCTTCCAAACCTTCTACAGACCCTGCAAGAATTTTCCACTCTCTCAGGTCAGCAAATACAGTAAATATTTCTAAATCTATAGGGAAGCCTATGAATATACTCACAGACTCACAGTTTCATGTATTGCAACACTCCTTTACTTTTCAGTGGTCCAAAGAACCTCTTGTATCTTCATATCTCTCATCTTACCCATCTTACAGTCTTTATTTCTGAAAAACTACTCACCTTTGGTTTCTAAACTCAGTCAAACACTTAAACTTTGGAAAACATACCATATCTCCATTTTTAGATAGAATCACAGCAAGAAGTAAGGATAACCATTCTTCCCAAATTAGTATGTCTTTTTCCACTTAAGATCACTAAATCCTTTGTTCTTTCATTTGGAAAAATAACAACTGTATTTGGGCGGATTCCCCCCCAAGATTTTACAAAATAGTGCTATATATTTCTCAGAAAGGAGGTCTGGGAGTACTGAATCTATGGCATTACTACCTGGCATCCAGATTTTCTCAGTTAGCTCAGTGGCATATTTATAAATCTAGAGTTCCTTTGGTAAAATTTGAGTCAGACTCCATATCCCCACATTTCCTTCCAGGCCTCCTCTGGTCCAAGGGAACCACATATGCAGATTTGAAGCCTCTAAAGATGTTAGTTTCCCTATCTTTCCATTTATGGCTTTGTTATAAAGATATACTTTTATTATCTTCTCAGCCTTCTCCACAAGCAGCTTTTCTAAGGGACCCTGCATCCCCCCGGGTTTTTTCAATACACATAGTTTTGCTTGGTGGGCTGACTCTGGTTTACTCTTCCTCAACAAAATATTGGAGAATTCCACATTCATCACATTCCAGTCTCTTGAAAACACCTATGGAATTCCAAACAAAGAGGTATTTCGTTATCTTAAAATGAAACATTTTTATTGTTCTCACTATAAGGTGGATGATATTCACACCCAACCCTATCTGAACAATTATGTCTCAAATCCCCTAGAGGCAAAGGCCTCATCTTGGAGATATATGCACAGCTCTGTAGCCTCAATTCCCAGGATAAACGCTTGTATATGTCTATGTCTAAATGGGAATCTGCATGTTCCCTAGACTTTACTAATGTGAAGTGGGATGAATGTGTAGACAACCTAAGGAAATGCACTAGGTCGCTCACTATTCATGAAACCAATAAACTCTTTACAACATGGTATTTAACTGCAGTCAAGTCAACTCTTTATTCCCTACGAGATCTCCACAGTGTTTTAGAGGTTGCCATGCACCCGGCACCTTTCTTCATTTGTTTTGGGAATGTGACCAGGTCTCCTCAATATGGAGAAAACTAAATACTTTTGCATCGTTCTTAGCAGGTACTCTGATATCTCTCACTACCACGCATTGCCTATTATTTGCCCCTATTTTAGAGGTTTCCACTATATTGATGAAACTGATTCACAATATTTGTGTTTCTATTCATTGGGTATTTGCCTTACAATGGATAACATGCTCCATTCCCCTTTCCCAAGTTAAACTGAGAGTGGACTCTATTAATAGAGTTGAGAAAATGTTTCACACCCTATACAATACTATGCCTTATTATGAAAAAAAATGGAACCCTTGGTTTGATAAATGTAATATCTTTGAATAATCCACCTTTGACACTTAGTATGAACTATTTGTCATTTCTCTGTTTTATGATAGCTCTCATCTTTCTCTAGCTGAGGTGTATTGTTTTTTCAGCAACCCCTCTGAACAGTTTTACCTTTTCTTATGTCATAGTCACCTGTAAATGTTTCTATTTTAAAATGTATGTTTTACTATATCTGGCTGAGGTGATTTTTATATCTGACACTGGTTATCTTCCAGTTTTCCATTTTTGTACCACATGTGATTATCCCTTAATAAAAAAGTTTGTAAACAAAAGAAAAAAGACACAAGTCCATCAAGTTTAAACGATAGGGGGGGGGGGGGGGTAGCATTTTCTTTTTTCAACCTACTACCTATGTAATGCGTCAGATTTAACATTTACGTGTTGTTTCCCAGATAACGAATATCTTCACCGCTCAAGAGAAAATAATTTACTTCTCATCAACGTTGACACTGGAGAGTCAAAGCAGATCCTTTCAAACACCACAATAGTATGTATTCTCTTCAGAAGAATCCAGTAAATACTGAAGAAGAGTGCAATTAATGCAGAGTCAGGGCCAATAAAAATAATAACTTATAGAATTAGAGAGTTTTGAGAGTAAAGCTGGATATACACTAATAGATTTTTAAATGAACATTTGTATGAACCGTCATATGATATTTTACAAAAATGTTCAGCTTTTCAATACAGTACATTTGATGACTTGATGAATGTCCTTTGACATACTTTGGATTTGATTTGGGAATGAATGGGCTTTCCCAAACAAAAACTACATACGCTGTTGGAAAAATGTTCGAGATGCATTTTCCATCCCGCTTTTTCAGATTTTCTTTTGTGCCACTGTTTTCATTGCTGTTGAAAATAAATGTCCATTTGGCCCCATTAATTATTAGAAGATTGAACAATATATTCCAAATTAATATTTTACTAGTGTATAGCTAGCTTAAAGTGATTGTAAACCCTTACATGTGTCCAGTGAAGTGACTATCCTCAGGTGATACATAGAGATTAATTAAATCCTTGTACATAGGTTGTGCCTTTTTATCTGAAGCCCTCTCTTCTCTACAGCTCCTCAAAATACATAATTTAGACAGCATTTCTTAGATCCTGAAGGCGGAGAGTGGGAATCTGGTGTCGCCCAATGCATAGCACAGAGCAGTGAGCTGAGTGTAACATGGGACCTGAGTGGAGGGAATGGACACACCTCTCTCTACACTGTATCATAGGGAAACATGCAGAGCTGAGGATGCTGATCACCTGTGTGCTGTTAGGTGGAGGGCTCTGTGTGACCTACAGCAGCTTCTTATGTACACTATAAGAGCCATTGTGAGAAAACCTCATTGCACCCTAGTGTAACTGGGACTCTGATTGAGACCCTGATGCAATTGGGGGGGGGGGTGTTATGGAGACCCTGATGTGAGAAGGGGGTCTGATGAGGACTGTGATGTAAGGAGGGACTCTGATGTAAGAGGGACTCTGAAGGAACCCTGACATAAGGGGGCTGTGACGTAGGCCCTGATATGAGGAAGACTTTGATGTAAGGGGGAATCTGATGGGACCCAGATTTAGGGGGGGGTTGTGTTGTGATCCTGATGTATGATCTCTGATGTAAGAGGGATTCTGATGTACTGAAGGGACCCTGATGAAAGGGGGCTGTGATGTAGACCCTGATTTATAGAAGGCTCTGATCGGGACCTGAATGTAAGGGAATAAGCTGATTGGGACTCAGATGAGGTTTTTTTTTGGTTCATGAATATTTGTAAAATATACAATGTATCCCTTGTACTGAAAAGTTTAGAGACCTCTGCTATAAAGTCTAAGCATTACACACATTAATTAACTAAATTTCTTTCTTTGCCCACTCTACTGTTATATCTTGGTGCTACGGCTTTTCCTTTAACACCATTATTTCATGTCTTCTCTTTTCAGAATAACAGCAATGCATCTTACTATGACCTGTCCCCAGACAGACAATACGCACTAATGCAGTACAACTATGAGAAGGTAATTTGGTTGTGTGTATGACTTGTAGTCTCATCAGACATAGGATAATTGCAACCCTATACGCAGTGGTAGAAAGAGGTTGTCCAGCACCCAGGGCTAAAATGCGGAACTCTGCTTCCCTGTCTTGCTGTTAATGCGTGTTGTAGATGGGTGTACCACCCTGCCTGCTCTGGCATGCTCATTTTTTGCCCTCCCCACAATCCTGTGTTCCCACTTCTATAGCTGGTATGAAGGGCACACTGTACATGCGTGCAGGTGGGTCCCAAATGTGGCTGAATCACCCACATGCTTTCCACCAGGGACAACCAATAACAGGGCTTGTTCAGGCCATACACCTTGGCCATATTCTCAGTCCACATCCCTTGCAGTCTGAGGCATGGAGTGCCCTGAACACCCTCTCATCATACTCCTGGTCACCTGTTGCAATGACACTCCTCTAGCTGGGGACATGTCATGTATTGGACATGACGTTTGCAAGTGGTTGCTGTATAGGTTACTGGATAGATCTACTACTTCCCTGTCCACCATCATCCCCTTGCCCAACCAGGTTTGCACAGAGTTGGTTCACCAGGATCCTATCTTCCAGTGTGTTCTCCATGGGATGCTAGTCTAGCTTTGCTTAATGGGATGCTATCCCACTTTACAGCATCAGAGGTACCCAAGATCCACTCCACACACTTGGAGCAGTCACAAGCTCGATCTAACTCCATTTTATAGAGGTAGTTCTAGGAACAGTTTCAATAAATAATTTATTTCCATTCAGTAAATAACAGTTCTCTCTGTGTAGTGTACTATCAGCCCAATAGTAGGGATGCCCATCCCTTTGGTAGTAAAGTAAGAAGTAAATCTTTATCCCATACTTTCTGTTGGTTCTGCTCTTCCCATCCACCAGCCTGAACTACCAGGAGCTAAGTGCCACCCGAAGTTTATATAAGATTCTGCTAGGAAGGATATAAAATCATTCCCCTTTGGATTTTAAAGAAGAAACCTCATTAAAATGGCAACAAAGTAACTCATGTCTACATGCATAGCCATTTGCTTGCTTTCTAGCAGCAGGGGATGGGTGGGCAAATTCTCATGCATGGTGTGGTTTTTGTGTCAGATGTGGGTGGTTGGGCATAGAGTGGTCATGTTGGAGAGCCATGTGTAAGCAGAAGGTGTTACAGCAAACAGAAAGTCAAGGCCACGGTTGAATAGTTTCCCACCACCAAACTGGAGCATACCTGCAGTGGGGTGCTCCCAAAGCAACATCACCTCCTCTCTTGGATAGGGGCAGCTGCCCCTCCTGCTCCCTTCCATCATTGTCTTTGCCCTAGATTTTTGCGTTCCATACAAACCCAGAGTATATGAAATGCTACATAGTCTGGATACAAGTGGTCAGTACATAGCCTGTTTATATAATAAGACCAGTAACGTCTTGCCAACTACATAAGGCATACTGTACGCACAGTGACAAGCAGAGTGGACTTTAATGCCCACATGCTGTACATCTGTGTCCACGGCGGCTGAAAATTTTGTGCTATGAGTGCACTCACTGCATCTTTCCAACACCATGTTCGAGCTGTCAGTCTCTAGTTATGATTGGGAGCCAGAAGGATGGGTACCTGATCATGTGACCACTGTGACAGCCAATCACAGTGGTCCTATGATCATTAAGCCTGTCCTGTACTCCTGCCCTAAGACAAAGCTGGCAGACAGGAAGGGGTTAAGTGTAGAAAATCTCCTTTTCCGACTGGTTAACATCAATTTTTATCTTTCTATAGGTCAGTCAAAAGGATGTATATGATTCATATGTATCAGTTGGATTGTCATTGACTATATTTATAGTAAAGGATTTGGTATTAAAGCAAGCCGCTAGTGTTTTTGCTGTGTGTGTGGTGCCATAAAACAAAAATACTGTTCACAAATATGATAAAAAAATCAGCCACGAATCTAAGATCTAATACACACAGAATTTAATGGCTGTATAGATTGTTGGTGCAGAATGTACGCTTACTGGTTATTATTAGTTTTATGTTCTTATGTTATTTTTTTTTTTTTTTTTTCCTTACAGTTATGGAGACACTCAAATACAGCTTCCTACAGAATTGTTAATATACAGACTCAGTAAGTTCTTCATTTGTGTACTAAAACTGTGTGTCAAAAACAATTTCCATCTTTGAATTGTCAGCAGGATATGTATTTATAGCTGTTTTTAAGCTGCTTGACAGAAAATAGAATAGGCATTTAAAGTGGACCTATCCCCCTTTCAAATTTGCCAACATTATAAAAGAACACTGTAGCTAAACAAGCAGACCTAAAGCGGAAGTACGCTGCATCTAAGCACCACAAAGCAAAAATGCAATTGAATTCATTTTTAATATTCAGAGTAACCCCCCCCCCCCCCATCCATCCACATTACTATGCTTTATTTTGCTGAGAAATCATTTTCATTTTGACCCCCCCTTCCCCCTTAGCATTTCTGACGTGGCCATCTTAAACAAGAGGAGATGATTCATGTACCATTGACTTCCTGGAATCCATCTGCCCTTAGCTCAGGCATAAAAAACAGGTGTACTTAGCTGAGAAAATCTCTCCTCCTCTCCAGAAGACTCCTGGGATATACGACATTATTCTCCTAGGCAAAAAAACAGGGAGTAAGTGAATAAACGTAAACAAATAGTTTAGAACCAGTAAATCTGATTATACGTTCCTATCTATGTATGCTAGCAGCATAAGGATTAAAAATAGTCAATGTTGATTAAGAGAGTGAAGTTCCACTTTAAGAATGTGTGCAACGTTCTGGTTATGTATAGGCACTTTTTTTCTACTGCCCCTCGTCTGCCTGTGTTCCTGATCCTCCCATACTGCCATTTTAAAACAGAACACCATTGCTTACCGACTTCTACTTCATGGATTCCTGCCCACTTTAATGCCCCCCTACCCAGGATCACCTACTCATCAATTGCTCTAGTCAGAGCTTACACAGGGTTTATGACTGTCTGGCCACCCCTAGTGAGAGAGCTGAGCAGTCGCTAAGCATAAGCCCCGAGTAGCCTTATGTAAACCTTTGAATACCTTCGATTACCCAGATTATCCTTTCTGTCCATACTGCCAATGTGTGACTGCACAACCTTTCTCCTGAAAATGGCTTCTTCATGCTGTGTGCTCATTCCTATAGGCAAGTTGTACTCATGGTAGCGTCTGTTTTTACTAAAGGACTTCTGAAAAACCTTGTTGGGTTTTCATACTATTTACATTTTTTTGTGAATGAGTAAGTTTACATACACGTAGGGGGGGCACCAGTATTTGGGGAAGCAGTCCCCTGCCCAAAGACCCCAACAACCACCAGGCTGGGGTTGTGGGTAAGAGGCCCTTGTTCACATCAACATTGGGACAAGTTGTTTTCTCAGGTGGGTCCCCCCCATACAAGGTACCCCAGCATTTTGATGGATATGTCCTGGTATGGCTTAGGATTATGCCTCCCACACACTTTTCTGGCCAGCTAGGCTGCATGCACGGATAAGGGTCTGGTATAGATCTGGGGGGGTGCACTTTTTTCTTTCATTTTTTTTTATGTGGGGTCCCCCCTTTAAAACACAAAAGGCCTGGTATGGAATATGGGGGAACCATGCACAGCTTTTTTTTGTAGGGTCCTATTTAAAATTCATACCAGACCTGAAGGGCCTGGTATAAATTTTGGGGAGGGGGATATTGTTTTCCTGCCTCTTTGTTTACATTCACCTGTCAGCTGACAGCAGAATGTGCCAGGCAGGGATGGCTCACAGGTTGCTATGACAAAGACGGGTGCCAGCTCCCTAACAACCAGCAGCCCTGAGCAGGAACCTGCCACATAGTAGTAGTAGTAGTAGTAGTAGCAGTAGTAATTCCACAGCTAAATGTTTAAATTCCCACCGCATCTAAAGATTTGCTCGGCCGAACACCCATTTATTTGACTGTGTGCACATCTCCATACTTGTACACAGTGCTGAGGTTTCCCTCATGTTATTTCCTCTTCTGGTTGAATGTTTTTAGCCTATTGTGTTTGGTTGTTTCCTCTGCTGGTTGAATGTTCCTTAAAATGGTTGTAAAGGCTGAAGGCTTTTTACCTTTTTGCACTCTATTCGTGAAGGTAAAAAACCTTCTGTGTGCTGCTCCCCCCACAGCCCCCCTAATACTTACCGGAGCTGGTTCTTCATCCAATACTGTGCACGGGAGCCTCAGCTGTCCTGGGACTACCTCTCCTCATTGGCTCCCGCTGCTGTCAATCACAGCCAGTGAGCCAATGAGGTGAGAACAGGGCCAAGCCACAGCTCTGTGTCTTATGCAGAGCAAGCACTCTCCACTTCCCCCTATAGCAAGTGGCTTGATATTGGGGAACCTGGTCAAGGGAGAGGAACCAAAAAGAGGAGGATTGGAGCTTTTTTTTATTTTTAAAAGCCGAACCTTTAATACCGCTCTAACTCTTATGGTCTTTAACTCTGTATGGCTATATAGCTATTGAAGAACCTTTGCCCATTTCGCCTGCCTAGTCCTTGGAGAACTAATGGACGACAACACATGGGAACATTGACTTTTGAAGGAGAAACAAATCTAATTTAAGGGTTACTTTTATCCTGAATTTGCTCCCCTAAATAATGTATATCTATTTCTAACAGGATCTGTCTTTTATCTTATTTTATTATCAAGATTTCCATAACAATTTACAGGAGTAACAGATGATAATCACCCCATACCATAAAGACACAAACAAGAGGCCATAAAGTGTTAATTGCTGTGGTTACATGTGCGACATCACATTAACGTTTTGAAAAATGGGCTTTCACCGTCACTTACAAAGATTGCATGGTAGGGCATATTCCACATTCAGAACGTCATCACTCAACCAGCACCTTCCTGTTTTCTTTTCCAGATCGCTTATCACTGGAAATGAACTACCTCAAGGGATTCAGTATATGACATGGTCTCCTGTTGGCCATAAACTAGTAAGTCCATTCCCCAGTTACTCATTCTGCATATGAACTCCCATATCTGAGACAAGCTATATAACTAAGCTGTGATTGAGAGTCTAATGTACTAACCGAGTTCAAAGGTTAAAACTGTACAGATGTAGTTTAGGCACACTTATGCAGCTGAGCTTTCACAAACTCTTATGGATATTTTTCAACAAAATACAGGCGTAAGATTTAACAAATTATTGTAAATTATGGTTGTCTTGGGGCAATAAAAAATCTTATTTAACAAAAAAAAATACACTGTGACAATTTTCACTTGGTTGAAAAAATCTCCTTGGAGTTTAGTTATTAAATAAATCTCTTAAGCATTTGCACAGCCATCATGACTAATCTCCGTAATCTGTCTAAAATCCTGTATGTATTTCCTATGATTGTCAGCTCCATCTAGTGGCCATAATGTAGTATTTTCCTGAAATACCACTATTGTGAAACTACTTCAATATAGCCACTATATGGAGCTGATGATCACGGGAAATACAATAGTAGTCACATTACAGGGATTACTCACGATGCCTGTGCTAATGCTTAGGCAGATTAATAAATAGACTCCAAGTAGATTTCTCAACCAGTTGAAAGTTTTCTGTGTTTGAAGTCCTAGCTAACCAGTCTAGAAGTGATTATGATCAGTTGGGCAGGTGTCATCACTTTTGTTTCCCTGCAGATCAGCTTGATAAGCACTACTGCAGTTCCCTTTTCTCCCTTCCCCTTCCCTAATCATAGAGTCTACATTGCAAGCTTGGCCAAGCTAACCTGGTGTATTTGCCCTGCTCTTTCACTCTATTTGTCCCTACATATGTAAATGCCTTCTTAAAATGTATCTAAACTCAAGAACAAACATGTAATATATTGCAGTTTAGCGGTCCTTAGACATAGTGACTGCATTAGTTTTCTTTTTTTTCAGGCTTTTTCCTTTATTTTTACTTTGTGATTCTGCCACTAACACACTTCATGTTCTGGGGTGAAGGAGCAGAATTGTCACCCTGAAACAGGAAGTATTTTCCAACTACAGGCTACCTCCCCATCTCCTCCTCTACATAACATATGGTGCTCTGTAGTCCATAGAGAGAACAATTCTAACTGATGAAAGTCTAGCACAAGCAGATAGCAAACAAAAAACTATCCATTCACAAGATGTTTGGCAGGATCTGGTAACTTTTTTGCACTTAACAAACAGATATAACAAAAAACTCTTTCAGGGGGGACATATTTAACATACCCAAAGGGAGTGATTAAAGGGTCACTCAAGGCAAAACATTTTTTTTTCATTTTGTCCCCATTGGAAGATCTCCCCTCTATTCATGTTCTGATGTCAACCCAAATTTTTGAATTTTCTTTTACTTTAACTTTCGATGATAAAAAGGACAAATAGTGAGGGTGAATGTCCCTCTTGGGGCCACAGACAGCAATAAAAACGGACAGGCTGAATGAAAAAACATGTGCAAGTGATGGTGGAGATCATAAAAGGTAGCATAGGGGAGTTTGGCAATGGTCACAAAGAACTAAAAATGGAACAAACTAGTGGAATTTGACAAATTCTGTCAAACAATTCTCTTTTTCCTACAGCAAACGTGATGCCACATTATTCTCTTATCTTGTAAGTTGCTTATGTGTATTTCACAATCCTAGGTATATGTTTGGGAAAACAACATTTACATAAGGAATGCTCCAGAGGAGCAGAGTGTCCAAATTACTACCAATGGAGAGGAAAACCGGATCTTAAACGGCATACCAGATTGGGTGTATGAAGGTAATAATTATTCTTATCATTATTATTCTCCAGGTTCAAATACGTGAAAAGTGTTGGAAGCTTTAGACAACACCCAAAGATTAGACCAATATGTACAGGCACTTTTAACCATTTGCCTACCAAGCACTTTTACCCCCTTTCTGCCCAGACCAATTTTCAGCTTCAGTGCTCATACTTTGAATGACAATTGAATCGTCGTACCCAAACACTGTACCCAAACTAAATTTTTAGAATTTTTTGAGACAAATATAGCTGACGTGATAATGCCAGAAGCAGTCTCCGATGCATAGGCCTGGTTGGGAGGGACATTGTGGACAATGAACACTGGAGTCTTTCCTAACTCCTCTTCTGCAGCATACCCAACATTTTTTCTGGCGTCTTCTTCCTGATTCTGTGGGTGGAATGTTTTCTGGAAAATGATGCTCATAAAGTCAGCTCACACAATCAGAGCAAATGTTTTCTGGGGGGGGGGGTCTTTGCTGGTAGATCAGGGCAGTGATAATTTCTTCTATATATTTGAGGAAGGTGGTGGGTCTTTCTGTTGACTTTTGATAGATGACAAATACATTGTAAATGGCCAAATGGAAAAAATAAATTGCAACTTTTTTGCACCAGAAGAGGGACTTTGTTGTTGACAAATGGGGCTGTAGCATCTGGTCATTTAAATCCCCCCCCCCCCATGAACCAATTATAATCGTGGATACATTCAGGTTTTTGGATGGGACAGAGTCTTCCATGAATTTCCACCGAGGTGTCATTGTGGATGGTGGACAGGACTTAAACATCTCTCTTATCCCTCCACTTCATGGCCAACACTTCCTTGTTTCTTAGACTTGCGGATTCCTCCTTTTGTAGTCTTCTGGTTACTAAACTTTGCGGGAAGCCCTTCCTATTTTTTTGGGTGGTACCGCAGGCTAAGGTTTTCTCACGGTACAGATGCTGGAAAAGGGGGAGACTGGTATAATGGTTATCAAGGTCATCGGTGGACTGACAACTCATGGGGGCCCCCGGGCAATAGGGGATCATAGGGCCCCTGTGTCCTTGCCCAAACTCAAAAAAGCCTATGAAAAAAGGTACCAGGGGCATCTCATGGGGCCCCCTACTGACCCCGGGCCCTCGGGCAGTGCCCGAGTTTCAAAATGGTCAGTCCGCCCCTGATCAAGGTAAATATGATAACCTTTTTGGAACCATGGGAATGCCAGGTCCCAAACAATTTTGCCACTTGTGCCAATGTAGGTTGGGCACTCCGGGGGCTGGAGCTGGGATTTTTTGCCTTCGTACACATGGAATACATGCAGATATCCTGTAGCCCTTTCGCAGAGGTTGTTCAACTTCAATCCATACCTGGCCCTTTTACTGGGGATGTATTGCTTGAATCCCAGCCTACCAGTGAAGTGGACAAGGGATTCATCCACACAAATGTGTTGTTCAGGGACATAAAGTTCTGCAAATCTCTTAGCAAAAGAATTTATTAGGGGGCGGATTTTGTATAACTTGTCATAGTTGGGATGATCTCTGGGAGGGCACTGTGAGTTGTCATTGAAATGCAGGAGTCGCATGATCAGATCATAGGGTGAGCGGGACATTACAGCAGAATAGATGGGCATATGATGGATGGGGTTGGTGGACCAGTAGGCATGCAGTTGTTTTTTGGTTTTTTTTTGTAAGCCCCATGTTAAACATAAGGCCCAAAAACAATTTTAACTCCTCCACTGTGAGACGTCTCCATAGAAAAAGACGGGCGTAGGATGTACTGGGATTATTATCAATATACTCCTGACCAAAAAGGTTTGTCTGGTCTGCAATTTATTGCAGTAAATTGGCAGGGAAAAACAAAATAAAAAAAATCAATTTCAGAAAAAGTTTCAGTATTGGTCTGCACACCTGGCTGTGCAGTGAAAGGTAGGATTGAAGCTGATCCTGAGCTGGAAGGCAGCCATAGTGGGTTTGCCAGGACATCAGGAAGATATGTTTGGGCCTTAATTCTTGGGGTCTGCTGGGATATTCCAGTGCTGGTACTGGGCCTTTCATCCTGGGGTCTAGCGCCATTGGTGTCTGCTGATTGACCATTGGGGTATATGGCACTGCTTGTGGTTTCCTGTTCTTCAGAGCACCATATCCTTTTAGGACGGACTGCGTGCTCCTCCAATTTGGTCACTGACTCAAGACTTTCTACTGGCTCGTATTCTGAATCGGATGGTGAGAGCTCCCCGCTGCTCTCATCCGACATGCTGAGGATTTTGAGCGCCTCCTCACTAGTAAAATATTTTTTGGACATTGCGGCTCTGGTGATTGTGGCTGTATGAGAGGTAAACTGCTGATGGGTGGCTATGATGGGTACACTGCAGATCGGCGGCAGTTGTTTCAACTCTGTGACAAGTACACTGATTATGGTGCACTGATGGCTGTGGTGACAGGTACACCGATGGGCTGCACTGATGAATACACTGACAGGTACACTGATGGATGCACTGATGGGCTGCACTGACAGGTACACTGACAAGTATACTGATGGGCTACACTGACAGGATCCACTGATGTGCTGTGCACTGATGGGCTGCACTGACAGGTCCACTGATGGCAGCAATGACAGATGCATGATGGGCTGCACTGACAGATGCACTGATGGGCTGTGTAGCGATGGGCTGCACTGACAGATGCACTGATGGCAGCATACTGATGGGCTGCACTGAAAGATCCACTGATGGCGGCACTGACAGATCCACTGATGGGCTGTGTACTGATGGGCTGCACTGACAGATGTATTGATGGGGTGCACTGATGGGGTGCACTGACAGATGCACTGATGGGGTGCACTGACAGATCCACTGATGGCGGCACTTACAGATCCACTGATGGTAGCATTGACAGATCCACTGGTGGCATCGACAGGGACTCTTTATTAGGGGCAATGTGGTGCACAATAGTGAAAGGGTTTGAAAAACTCACTGTTCCTAGGTTCTCCTCCTCACACAAGATCGGTGTGTGAGGAGGAGAAGATAGTAGCAGTGATCACCAGGGGCGGACTGACAACTCATGGGGCCCCCGGGCAATAGGGGATCATGGGGCCCCTGTGTCCTTGCCCAAACTCAAAAAAGCCTATGAAAAAGGTACCAGGGGCATCTCATGGGGCCCCCTACTGACCCCGGGCCCTCGGGCAGTGCCCGAGTTTCCAAATGGTCAGTCCGCCCCTGGTGATTACTGTGTGTAAACCCTTACATATACCCAGGAAAGTGACTGACCTCAGGCGATACACAGAGATTAAACAAATCCTCCTACATAAGTTGTACCTGTTTATCTGCAGTCTTCTCTTCTCTAGATACGTGCTGCAAGTGCTGAATAAACTTTGTCAGAGCTCATAAAAAAAGGGGTCAAAAAGCCGAAGTTAAACTCTGCAGAGCTTAGTGAGGGGAGTTATGAAATGAATGGAGGAAAGAGACATACACCCCCCTCCACACAGCTCACAGGAACAGAGTTGAGGCTGTAAATCAGCTGGAGGTCCCTCGCCTGTCATCATTTTTCTCTTGGTGTCAGGAAAACTTGTCAGAAGTGACTCATGCTGATAACAGAGGAACAAAGCAGCAGACATAAATTACACTTAGTGCTCCTAATTGAGACAACTACACACTATAGAGGGATGTGCTTTGTTCATATTTCATGTCTGCAGTTTACAACCACATTAATAGCCCTGTTAACTATCTTCATAAAATAATTTCTTGCTGTATTTTCTGTCTTCCTGTAACATCATCTAGGAGCTCCCAAAGCTCTCAGTTTTTCCTTCACTTCTGTTTGTTTAGAATGAACAGTGCATTTTAGGGCATTGCTCTATTCACTGCAAACCCCATAGTACTCAATCTCTGATACATCTTGAAAATGAACAAGGGAGGGTGACTATGTTCCAAAATACAGTGGGATCATAAAGAACAAACTTAGTCACCTTCTAACAAGACATTGGATCACAGCAGCAAAAAAAAAAAAAAAAAAGGTATATGAAGGAGTCTGAATGCAATAAAAGGTACTTTATGAGTCAGGCAAAATACTTGAATACATTTTTTTTCTTTTTTTTTTTTTTAAATCAGAGTTTAGTGTCACTTTAACTTTTGCCATCAAATTTTAGAAAATCCCATTACATGTTTATGTGTTCCCATGCACACGGGATAACTATTTTTTTATATATATATTTCTTACTTTTTTCGTATGTTTCATAGAAGAATATGTTATGGCAGACTGCAGGCATTTCTGAACAAATTCTGAGTGAGTCTGTTTAGCTAGAAAGGCTTAGGACAGGTTCAACCTACAATGATGAGTTTTTAACCCTTTGTTAGGACAGACAGTGTTCACATTTAGTTTACAACTGATAATGTGATCTGCCAGCTCAACACAGACAACCCCTCATAAATTATACTAAGTAGGATTTTTCAGTCCTGGGCCAATCAGAAAGAACATCTAAATGGTAAGCAGCAATTTTTATTCATGTATTTTTTTAAGGGCTGGTTCACATTAGGAATCGCACAGTAATACACTGTGTATTCCTGTACGATACACATGCATCTGTAGCAAAGCGTTTTACTAAATGTAGAACTGCTTAAATGAAGGAAGGAAAAGCATAAAACATAATTGTGAAGAAGAATATAACTATTAATTTTCAACAAAATAATATATTTTCTTTTCTTTTTGCAGAGGAAATGTTTAGCACTAATTATGCTTTATGGTGGTCGCCGAATGCAACATTTTTGACATATGTAGAGTTTAATGATTCAGGCGTGCCAATAATAGAATATTCATTCTATGGGGATGATTCAGAACACTATCCACAGACTATTCATATTCCATATCCTAAGGTACGTCAGTAGTTACCTGGCTATCATGCTGTTCCAGTTGTTCACTAATGTTTGAATCACTGATATCTATTCCATGATTTACACAATGTAGAAAGCTTATTTAAAGAGCAACTACAATGTTTTGGGTCAATATTATTGATTTTTTATTTTTTAGTTTAACAGTTTTTAAATTGTTATTTTTTAAATATCTATAAGTAAGAGCTAAAATAGTTAAATGTACTGCTGGCTGGACAGATGTCTGCACAATATTATTATGCAATTTTCCACATTTACTTGACTAAATCTAGAAATTTAAATGAAATGAAGTCCTGACTATAGTAAATAAAGAAAGATAATATGTAAAAAGCACACTATATTTCCTTTAAATTGGATTTATTTGTGATATCTTTTTAAAACCCAAAGTCATAGAATTATCATCAAAAACATACAAATTCACACAGTGGTGGCCAGGAAAGAACGGTTAGACCGATAATGGCAAGCCAAGATATTCTGCCAGGGAATGTTGGCACACGCCTCCTCTATTACTTTTGAAAAGGAGTGTTAAAACATTCGGCATATGTTTAAAGCATCTATACCGTGTGCTTAGAGGCAAATAGGCAAGACATGTCACTACCCAGAATCCTCTGCAGCAGCAGAGATACCATATGTTGTGCAATTCTGCAACAGCTCTTGAGCTAGCTTAGGGCATGTAAATAAAGACACTTTATTGGCATTTTCATTTTGCTAAATTCATTAAGTCTTCATGGCCAACTTTTATAAGCATATATATATTGGGACAAGTAGAAGTTACTGCTCATTGAATGAAAACGTTGGATGTTCTATTATCCTAAATGCATCACCAAGCAGCTAGGTTCACAGAAACTAACAGTATGATGGTCAATATTAAACATTGAAAACCTCTTCTTTAAAATTTTGTCTGTGAAGGTTCTCATTTATAGGTCATGTTATATCTAGAGATTGTTACATTCAGCTGGACGTGTTCTGTAATGTTAAAGACATTTTGTAGCTTGGCCAAGCTCGACTAGCTGGTAGAGAGATCTCATCACTGGTTGCTTGGCTATAGTTGACCTTTTGAAACCCTTCTGTACAAAACACGTGAGCTCTTCTTTATTCTTTTTTTTTTGTTTGTTTGGTTTTTTTTTTTGGCATTTTCAATAAAGAGTATATTTAGTGGAAACTAGTCACATTCAATCAGACTTGTTCTGCAATGTTGAAGACATTTTGGTTGTCCAAGTCTTTTCTTCAGTTCCTTTAAGTGTTCAGAAAATACCCCAGCATGTACAGTATCTCAAGAAGTGAGTACACCCCTCAAATTTTTGTTAATATTTTATTCTATCTTTTTCCATGTGACAACACTGAAGAAATGACACTTTGCTGCAATGTAAAGTAGTGAGTGTACAGCTTGTATAACAGTGTAAATTTGCTGTCCCCTCAACATAACTCAACACACAGCCATTAATGTCTAAACCGCTGGCAACAAAAGTGAGTACACCTCTGAGTGAAAATGTCCAAATTGGGCCCAAAGCATCAATATTTTGTGTGGCCACCATTATTTTCCAGCACTGCCTTAACCCTCTTGGGCATGGAGTTCACCAGAGCTTCACAGGTTGCCACTGGAGTCCTCTTCCACTCCTCCATGACGACATCATGGAGCTGGTGGATGTTAGAGACCTTGCGCTTCTTCACCTTCTGTTTGAGGATGCCCCACAGATGCTCAATAGGGTTTAGGTCTGGAGACATGCTTGGCCAGTCCATCACCTTTAGCCTCAGCTTCTCTAGCACGGCAGTGGTCATCTTGGAGGTATGTTTGGGGTCGTTATATTGGAATACTGCCCTACGGCCCAGTCTCTGAAGGAAGGGGATCATGCTTTGCTTCAGTATGTCACAGTACATGTTGGCATTCATGGTACCCTCAATGAACTGTAGCTCCCCAGTGCTGGAAGCACTCATGCAGCCCCAGACCATGACACTCCCACCACCATGCTTGACTGTAAGCAAGACACACTTGTCTTTGTACTCCTCACCTGGTTGCCACCACACATGCTTGACACCATCTGAACCAAATCAGTTGATCTTGGTCTCATCAGACCACAGGACATGGTTCCAGTAATCCATGTCCTTAGTCTGCTTGTCTTCAGCAAACTGAGGGCTTTCTTGTGCATCATCTTTAGAAGAGGCTTCCTTCTGGGATGACAGCCATGCAGACCAATTTGATGCAGTGTGCGGCATATGGTCTGATCACTGACAGGCTGACCCCCCACCCCTTCAACCTCTGCAGCAATGCTGGCAGCACTCATATGTCTATTTCCCAAAGACAACCTCTGGATATGATGCATAACATGTGCACTAAACCTTTTTGGTCGACCATGGTGAGGCCCGTTCTGAGTGGAACCTGTCCTGTTAAACCACTGTATGGTCTTGACCACTGTGCTGCAGCTCAGTTTCAGGGTCTTGGCAATCTTCTTATAGCCTAAGCCATCTCTATGTAAAGCAACAATTCTTTTTTTCAGATCCTCAGAGAGCTCTTTGCCATGAGGTGTCATGTTGAACTACCAGTGACTAGTATGAGAGAGTGAGAGCGATAACACCAAATGTAATACACCTGCTCCCCAATCACACCTGAGACCTTGTAACACTAACGAGTCACATGACACTGGGGAGGGAAAATGGCTAATTGGGCCCAATTTGGACATTTTCACTTAGGGGTGTACTCACTTTTGTTACCAGCGGTTTAGACATTAATGGCTGTGTGTTGAGTTATTTTGAAGGGACAGCAAATTTACACTGTTATACAAGCTGTACACTCACTGCTTTACATTGTAGCAAAGTGTCATTTCTTCAGTGTTGTCACATGAAAAGATAGAATAAAATATTAACAATTTTAGGGGTGGACTCACTTCTGTGAGATACTGTATATTCACACAGGTAAAATGAACACCTTGATCTACTGATACCTGCCTTTCCATGGTGACTAGATCAAGGTGTTGGTGCTACCTGTGTGGATATAAATACAGAGCTGTTTTCCTGGCACTCATTAGAACTGAAGAAGTGGTTTGGACAACCAATGAAATGTCTTCACCATTACAGAACAAGATCCAGTTGACTGTAACTAGCTACTTCTAGATATACTGTTTATTGAAGATGCAAAAAAGAGGGAACAAGAGAGAATGCGTTTTAGACAGAAGTGTTCCTAAAGGTCAACTATGATTGCTGAGATATCTCCACCAGAAATCACATTTTCACCAAGCTGCCTTGGCCAAATTGTATTGTGGCAGTATAACACATGGGAATTAAATAAACCTGGCCATACTATAGACATCTTGAATTTCTAGCTTTTTTTTATCCATGATTCTTGATTTCCCACATTTTTCAGCCTTGCAACATCTAAATTTCAACACTCCTGGTAGTTATGAAAGCTTGCTGCCCTCTATAACCTACTGCTCTTCCTACTGGCCCAGTACTATGATGGGCATTCCCACTAACAATAGAAATGTGTAGGAGGTAAAATGCTGTGAGAGGGCGTCTAAAGGTGGTCTTCTTGGTTCCTGAATTGTTGTACTGTAGCCTGTTCACTATCATTGCATCACTGAACAAATTACATTAAGCAAATAGTCCAATGGAAGCAAAGTGACACCTTCATTGTGGCCTTATAGAAGGGACTGGATTCCAAAACTTTTACAGAGAAATTGTTTTACTAGAGTCCCTCAAAAATAAGAGATCCTGTGATTTAACCCGTTATTGCCAATCCAAAAATTACAGTTTTAGTGGAATTAGTTGAAGGGGTACCAACACAAAATTCATCATGGTGTCAGGCACTGGACTGCATAATATTGTACGGACATTATGTGCATTAAATCATTAAATAAATTAATTCTAAAAACTCTGATTATATTTCTATTAAATTATACTTTCTTCCCAAGTCAGGAGCTAAAAATCCTACAGTGAAACTATTTTCCGTAAACACAGAATCCCTCACAAACCTAACGTTTAAGGAAATTCTTGCACCAGCAGAAATTAGATCTGGGTAAGATTGTTCAAAGTACATTTTTATTATTATTTTAATAACTTTTAACTTGGCATTTCTGTTTTGTTCACTACCCTGGAGCAGGAGAGGGTTTTAAACAGATTTTTATTTACATGCTTGTATAATTAAATTGTATGTACATTTTAGCCATGAAATTCTCGTATTTCCTGGCTGTAACACCAACATCATTTTGTTATTTCTGTTCAATCAGTGCAAAACCATAATCAGGTTTGAAATTCAGAGCTGTCCTTTGTCCTCCACACAGTTCTTGCCTTACCTCAAGTAGTACTTGGAACCACAAAATGATTAGTTATAGATATGTTACAGAGAATATGATGAAAAGTGGATTTGAGTAGTTTCGCAAAAAGACACTGGGCAGGGCTGACACCTCTCAGTCCACAAAAATGCTGTATATTGTCAGCCCACAACTAGATATAAAGGGCTGAGTGTATTTTTGGCAGGACAACAGACTTTGTTCTGTAATTGCGGGGTCTTTCAAGGGATAATATAGGAGACTATGAATGTATTGTATGAATGTATTGTAGAGATATATTGCATGATTTGTGTGTGTGCTCGGACAAACACGTAAGAAAATGGATCAGAATTTGTAACATTTCCTACAGTCCTTACAACATGTCTGCATGTACCAGAGATTTATTATGTTATAGAAATAATCAAGCTCAAGAGCAACTGTTACATTTTAGCCATTACTTCCATTACTGAAAGCATTCCCCATATTTATTTTTTGGGGTAACAAACAACATTATTTTATTTGCTATTGATCACCACTGGGTTTTTTTTTTATTTTTTGCAATATAAATGAAAAGACCTACAAATTTTGAAAAAGAAAAACGATATTTTTTACTGTTTGCTATAAAACATATCCAATAAAAAAAATCACGTTACTTAATAAATTTTG